TTATAAAACGAAACTCCTGACTCATTCCCTTCATACCTACCAAGCTTCTCTTCTCACTCATTATTAAGAATTTATCTGCTTAAGAAGAAATGGAAATAAAGTGCCTGGTTGGCCCATAAAGGAGCAACCTGAAGCCACTCTTCTCTGCAATAAATAAATTAAGCGGTGCTCTAGGTCAAAGATAGCAAAAGGCTTATTTTTATTGCTGGTTTAAAAAGAAAATGCTATTCAGAAGCAGCAAGTGGGACTAAGTTTGAAACTTAGTAAACTATCCTATCCTAATGACTATTATCTCTTTCCACCAGATTAAATATAGCCAAATTTACAAGTGTTGGTTTTTTTTTTGGTTTTTTGGTTTGGTTTTTTTTTGGATATTGCCTTTCAGAGTTTAGAGTCGAAACAAAAACCATTCCAGTCAACATTTCATGACAATCATTCTAAATAAAAGTTGTCTTTTTTTTTTTTATTTGACATTTGATAAAAATTCTAACAAGTCAGTTAACAGTGCTGCCCCCTGCCGGGTGGTGGTGGTGCATGCCTTTAATCCCAGCACTTGGGAGGCAGAGGCAGGTGGATTTCTGAGTTCGAGGCCAGCCTGGTCTACAGCGTGAGTTCCAGGACAGCCAGGACTACACAGAGAAGCCCTGTCTCGAAAAAACAAAAAAAGAAAAAAAAAAAAACCAACAGTGCTGCCCTTCCCCTAGTTCCCTGCCCCATGCTTGTCATCAGTTACTAGGCTGCTCAGTGGGGACTTGGTATTGAGTGTGACGGCATGCTTTGCAGGCCTGAGATGTTCTACAGCTAGGCACATGAGGATGGACATCATGGGAATTTAAAGCTGGGCTCCTGTCTTTCAGGAGACTAAATTATTAACACATCACAGCTAGATCAAGAAAGAAAATGACATTTCCAACAATTTCATCAAGTCTATTATTTAAAAGACATCCCCCAAAAAAAGATTTTAAAGTTTTTTATCCTTAAAGACATTTCCCTAACAGCACTATGATCTAGTTTATTTATTCTGATTTATTCTTAACAACGGTACTGAGCTTACACTAGGTCTCTAAATAGAGAAGGATTAAACAGCAGGTAAGTCAGAGGCAGAACACCATTTCTAGGGGGGAGAAAAAGCAACTAACTGTAATTTCCCCTCAAACCAAACAAGAAACAGTCCTCTAAATACCCGCCAGAGCTCTAAACCCCACAGACTGCTTCCAGCTCCTTCACTAGGAGTAAGGCTAGTTAGGCTGACACTATCACCACAGCAAGTAAGAGGAAGCAGTCGTCCTCCTCAAATCTGAAATAAAAGCTCACTTTACAAGCTCCAACCATGAAAACATCTATGAGGTAAACGGCATTCTATCAATAAGTTATGAAGACATCTTACAGTAAACGTAAAAACTACACGATATAATGAAGACCACCAGCCAATTTACACGAAGTAAAGCTTCCATGAGCAGCATCTAAAATGCTCAACACATCAACATACTTACAAAGCCTGTGCCTAAAATACATCCTGGTGGAAACTATAGTACAAACTGAGCAAAGTAGGTGGGGAAGCATCACTAGACCAAATCATAAGTAGTAGACACAATAAAGTGAGACTCTTAAGCCTCGATGAGTGTATACTTTACTCAACAGTTAACTACCAAAGTAAAATTCGTCTAATACTTACTCAGCAAACAACCCCTATCTATACAGACTGACGTAATAATTAGTTTTGTTCATTAGCTTAGCTATTTTTCTATAGTTCTTAAGTTACAAAAATGTTCAGCTATTGAAAAAAAACACTGTGCCTCACTTGATAGATTCCTGAGAATCCTTACGATAGATAGCAACGGTTTTTAAAAGTGTAAATCGTTTTTAAGTCCATCTACATTATAATTTCAGACATATCCACTAGGAAAAACAAAACTGTTTCTCAGACACAAACATTTCACTACACAGCAAAACAAGAAAACAGCCAAGGAGGACACAATCGAAATTTGTACTGTTTCCTCCAAAGTGATACAACTTGAAAATCCAGAAGCCACAGCAACTTCCTTCAGCCACTTTCTGTGGTTCAGCCAATGAAAATGTTCCTAGTAATTATTACTACCATTTCCTTACATAATTAAGCAACTACAGGATAAGTCAAAGAACCATCCCCAAACCTCTGTTTCAACTTCTGAGTAACTGTTATCAGGTATGCTAGTAAACAAACCTCACTACTAATTCAGATGCACATCATGCACTTAAGGCCTTTTCCTTTATTTGCTCAGTGTCATCAACAGAGAATTCCTTTTCAATCACTCGCCTGTGCGTGCACTCCTGCCTGCCTCCCTGCACTTTTCGCCTGTGCGTGCATGTGTGCCTCCCTGCACTTTTTTCTCGTGTTTTGTCAATTATTTTTTCAACTGCTTAAACCTTCCTGAGGGGCAGGGAAGGAAAGATGGTTAGTGAATAAACACTTTTGTGATTCATGGACGTAAGCCTGACCCAAACCACAAAACTGTCATCTGACTGCCACTGGTCACTGTCACCACATAGCACGTATCCCCATCAGACACCCACAAGAAATAACTCCAAGAGTCATCAGGATTTTATTGTTTTATATATAAAGCAGGGAAGAAACATTTTTTAAAAAGTACACCAGCCTTTCCCAATAATCTATATAGTTTGACATATATTCATAGTTTTCCCTTTTCCCAGCTTAAATGTGCATAACGCAAGCTTTCTGCTTTCATTTCATAGTGTTACTCTGAGAATCAAATGAATTACCCCCACAGATTAATCTTAGCTTATATTAAATGTTGATCACAATCACTAATAGCCCATAGATATGTATTTCTGGCTATGTAACTCCATTCTCTATTTTAAACTACTCAGAATTTATAATAAACTGAGTTTTCTGAAAGGACTTTCTCCTTCCATTCATGTATGTGATAAGATAAACATCTTATCAAGTGATCGGAATTTCTATAACATCACACTGGAATTCTACCCCGGAGTCAAAGCACTTAACCATCAACTCAGGGGCCGTGGGTAAACTCTACTGACTCTCTCCAGCCACTCAGTTTTGTGGCACTGACTTGGATTTATGTCCTTCATCAAGACTCAGGCCAACCCACCAATATTGTTGTGTTTATTCTTAGGGATAGACTTTGGAGAAAGATTTTATACATCTCAGAATTTCAAATGCACTCTTTGGCATAGCAGTTTCACTTTTAACAAGCTGACATACAGTAGCAGGTGTACAGATACAAAAATGTAAATACAATTATATAAATTATACTCATTCCAATAACAATATCCTGGAAACGAGCCAAACATCTCCATCCAAAAGGCATGGATGCCTGGAGCTGCACGACAAAAGCTACTCAACCTTACAAAACTAGAGAATGAAAACTACTGGCTCACACAAGTTCTACAACTGCTGTGCCAAAAACAGAAGAGCAGGGCTGCAAAGTGAGTTTCTGATTTTCTAATAAGGGTAGAAGAAACAAAAGCACCCTATGTAAAACAACCATAGAGCTGGACTCTTAAGCATTTTAGGGTCCCCGAGAACAAGAAATGTCACTTAGGGAAGGATGCAACCGGTTAGCACTGCATTTATGGTGGCCCTAACTTTATGTATGATTGCATCCAAGAAAATAACCCTTCAATTCCCAGTGAAGCACGAAAGTATTTAACCACAGAGGTGTTTCTAGGTGCCGTAAGATCTCAATATCAAAATTTATGTGTAAAAGCACAGCTTCTAAATCACCTTGCCACAGCAAGCTATTGGAAACACTTCTCTTGTAATAACACTTTCCAAGTGTGTTGTCTTGAATAACAAGTACCAGAACTCACACTTTGAAACAAAGTGACATTCTGGGTAATATGGCAAAAAGCCGAAGTCCCAGCAAAGGTAAATAATACACTTTTTATTTTATAAGTAACAAATGTTGCATTGACTCTAGTTTTTAGACCCAGTCTTTGTTTTAGATCTCTCATCAACGTATGCTCAAAAAAGATACAAACTAAATTATTCCTACAGGAGGAATACTCTATTCCTTAAAACAATCTATACTAAACCTAACAGGTTTATCTGCCCAAAAATCAAGGTCCTGTCAAGAATTCAGAAATTTCAATCTATTCTCAAAGGTTCTTATTAAAGTATTCCAAATAGAAAACTACATAAAATCACCACCTGTCTAAGCTATTTGAGTAATGGATTGATTTTGTTTCCAAGGGAGATTTTTCTCACTTATCACACTGTATTCCTGTCATTGAAAGAGCAAGCACTTTAGAATTTTTTTAATTAAAATGTACAAAAGGAGGATTCATTTTTAAGAATTTTAGCCTAATGTAATAATAATATAACACACTGTCAAGAAGCACACTTCAAAGCACACGGGAAAATGGACAGGGAAGTTGTTTTGTGCAGAATTCACCGGGCTTTTTTAGTTTTTGTACCCATCTTACTGTCCATGTGTAGAGACACTTTGGTCTACTTTTGAAAGTTGAAATTAAAGTGCTAAAAACTTTCCTCCTTCTGTGGCCTCACATAAATAATAAACACCAAAATAAACCCTAGCTGCTCTAGAGCTGAGTGTTTTGCTGTCTCTAAGCATTATCGCTGCCACTGCGCATACCGCAGCGGGTGACATCAGATCGAAACTACAGGGTTTCGTAGGGTACCAACCACTCCTCCAGAGACAGCCCCGGCTTCCCAGCCCCCTGCTGCAGGTGACACCCCCCGGGTCTCCGCGGCCGCGCTCCCAGGACCTGAGAATCCTCACCCGGGGCGACTTTTCCAGGCGCGGGACCTGTTGCACGTCGCCTCCCAGCGCGAGCCGGAGCCAGGCACCGGCAGCCGTGCACCTGCCCGGGCGGCAGGCGCACCCCCAGCCCGCCCTCCTGCCTTCCCTCCCCGCCCCCGGTCGCCCCCGGCTGCCGCCGGCGGGGAGGGCGGAGCGAGGTTCCCCCGCCGCCCCCCACCGCCCAGCCCGCCGCCCGGCTGGCCGTGAGGTTCTCACCTTAGCGGCCGCGGCCCTGGCGGACATCTTGTCTCTCTCCGCGCCGCGCGAAGCTCCTCGGACCCGAAACTCCGCGCCGCCGGCCCGCCCGCTCCTCACGCCACCGTCCGCATAAACATCTCCCGGGGACGAGCGGAGCAGGGGCGGGGGAGGCCGGAAAGGCCCGGCCCACGGGGAGGGGATTCAAGTGGGACAAAAGTCCGGGAAGCGTCCGCCCCGCCCGGGCTTCTCCGCGGGGCACACCCGGCCGCCTGCTCGGCCTCCGCCGCCTTCGGTCGGCTCGCCGCTCCGCAGTACCAGGGCCTCCAGCTGTCCCCTCCGCCCTCGGGCGTCTCCTCAAAAGCCTGCTCCCGCACGTAACTTCCCCGGAACGCGCGGCCGCCGAGAGACGTGCCGTCGGCGGGCAGAGCCGTCGCGGGCAACTCAGGCAGCCACGCAAAACCTGCCGGACCGGGCCACTGAGCATGCCCAGCCGGTGGGGGCGGGGCCTCCGCGAGGGGCGGGGCCAGGCCGGGTCCGACCCCCGCGCGGAAGGAAAAGCTCAGCTACCCAAGTAACTTGCTAGGCGGTTTCCGCTGCCGCGCGATCCATCCTGTTTGTTTTTTATCACAGATCCGGCAGAATTCGCCCCACGAGAACCCTTAACCCCTGTGTACTAAAGCTTTTTGACTCCCTACAGAGACTTGGTCTACTCTCTCCTCAGCCAGCCACCTCAGGTCAGCCCCAAGCAGGAGTGTGACAAGAAAGGTCGGCCTGGCCGATATCCAACTGTGGTTTCTTTAGCCTTGCAAGTTACAATGGTCACAACTGTCACCATGTGTCTCGGCATTGTTACCCCGTTGGAGATAAAATGTGTTTTTGTTTAAAGCACAACAGAAGCGTTCTAGAAGGCTCATAACAAACCGATTGCCTTAAATAAACCAGGTACAGATCTGGACACTGAGGGGAACAAGCATCCAGAGATAATCCCAGCCCCCTTCTCTCGCCTCTCTAGACAGGGATCTCAATAGAATATTTTGAGCTATCAATGTTGCTGAAATTCTTGGCCCCTGAAGAGACAGATCAGGCTGCCTGCCTTTCTAAACCAGAAATGGATGTGAGTACACGCAGAATTCAACAAGTCCAATGGGCCACTGTGCAAACTTAGGCCAACTGCCTTGCTGAACAGAAAAAAAGTAGGTAGGAAACTATTTTGAGCGTCATTAACTTACATTCTGTATACTGCAAAGCTCTTCACAAATATTAGAAAATTTTAGTAACATTAAATAACATCCTTAAAGTATCTAGTATAGTGCTACAGTAGCCACACAAGGAAGAGGGAGACATAAGCATCCGGTTTTAGACTATTGTTTTCTCTTGAGAATTCAACTACATGATCAAATTAAACTTAATTCTAACTTGGAAATATCCATATATGAAACATAAGTATCAATTAAGGTTTCAAAATCAAGTATTTTGCAACTCTAAGTTAGCTGAACCAGAAGAGAGCATTGTGCAAACCAAACCCTATTTCTTGGCATGTAGGAAAACAAAGTCATTTTTGTTTTGCTTTGTTTTGTTTTGTTTTGTTTTAGTTGTGATGTGTGTGATTGTTTCATGGGCAAAGTGTCCTGTGTTCTCTTAAAAGGGATGATTAAATTTATCCTATGAGAAAACAGCATTATAAAAGAATTAGGTGGGCTATGGTTGAGAAAGCAGTTCCTGAAAGACTTTGATACCAGGGCATTTACCATTTATTTGATAAGGAATGCACTCTGCAAACCTGCCTAGAGGCAGGGAAGGTGTTTGATGCACCTACTCCTTCCCTTTCTCATTGGTCAATCAGTTTATCAAGTCTTCCATTATGTAAGCTAACTATTAGATCACTGCAGCTTGTCTACCTCTAATATACCCGATTGGTCTTATCTTTGCCATGGCTTAAAAAAAAAAAAAAAAAACTGAAATCAAGGAAAAACATTTCGGCCGGGCGGTGGTGGCGCAAGCCTTTAATCCCAGCACTTGGGAGGCAGAGACAGGTGGATTTCTGAGTTCGAGACCAGCCTGGTCTACAGAGTGAGTTCCAGGACAGCCAGGGCAACACAGAGAAACTCTGTCTCGAAAAAAAAAAAAAAAAAAAAAAAAAAAGAAGGAAAAACATTTTGATTTCAGAATACTTTGCTTTAAAAAGTGTGTCGATTAAAATTTTCCAAATAATGCAAACCATTCTTAAAATTTCCAGTGGTATTTTGAGTAACTGGATTAAATTATCTAAATTGAACTGTATTCCACACTAGGTAAGTTGAATAGATATTCTTAATATCTAAAACAAACTTTATTTGTATATCTTCTCCAAATAGCAAAGGAAGGGTCCCATCATTTATAGAAATGAAGGTGCAGGTGCCATAATGGAACCTATTAATTTGTATCCTAACAAAAATAACTTTAAAAATCAGTTTAGAGAAAAACACTTTTGGAGGAATTTATCTCCATCTCTTAAGTATATCTGACTGGGGGAGGGGTGCTTCTCCAGACTTCCCGCCGGGGCCCCCGCCCATGCTTCAATGTGGAGTGGAGAGCATACAGCATAATCTCAGAGACACTTCAACTTCAACAAGAGTTTATCCAGTGAACAGCAAAAGTTCTCATATTATACCATGACATTAATGATTACAGAGAGATGTGGCTACAATTCTCATGGATTTAAATCTGAAAAGGAGAAATGCAAGTAAGTTAGAGAATCTCATTGAGCGTTACAAGAAAGTGCAACCAAAAATCTCCCTCTGTGTGCAGATTTCTTTCTGATCTGATGCACAGGAACAGGAAACTGAAAACCACAACACTCAGAAGCACAACTTCCTGTGGGATTTCTGGTGTCTGCGGTCAGAACGAAAGGAACTGCATACAGAACCTTTAGAAATCTTAGACCTGCTAAGTAACACGGCCTTGACTCAGTGAGCTGTGTCTACACTTACTCATTGTATATGTATATTTATGTTTCCACTGTAAAAAACGAAACAAAAATCAACAACCTCTAGAAAAGCATAGTAATGTTGCTTTTTGTTAAGTGCTGTGGGTTTACTCTCGAAAAGGAAAGTGGAAATGTTGGGCACCATGAGGTGATCTTGATAACGCAACAGAAGAGAGTATACTAAAATCTGCTACTGACAATAGGGTATCGTCACTGAGCGTTCTGACCAGGCCACATCACTAAGGAGTCTGTGGGGGACTTCAGGACTTTCATATGTCCATAGTCACAGAACAGAGAGCAAAATGGGAAGAAAACTTTCTCTGATTTGTCAAGTTTCTAGAGTCCTTAACAATCTGGGCATGGTGGTGCCTGCCTTTAACCCCAACAGAGGACAGAGGCTGAGGCAGGCAGACCTCAGTGAGTACCAGGCCAGCTGGTCTGCATAGTGAGATCCAGGACAGCCAGAGCTACATAGAGAGGAGAGACCCACCTCAATGTATATAAACCAGTGGCGAGTAAGTTCTTTCTTTTTACCAAATAGGTCCCAGGTCCTTAGGCTTGGCTCTTAACCTGCTGAGCCATCTCACCAGCCCTTATTTGTATTTTATTTTAAAATAAACATTATACATTGTATATTTAAGAGTTACTAAAAATTTTATATTATATATATTTCACAACAATAAAGATACAAAAATTACTACTAATTATCAGTACAATTTGATTTTTACCATGAGTATTAACTGTACATATTAGTAGGTTTCGCTGTTACATTTCCAAAAAAGCATCAACAGTGCTTGCATCAAATTTACCTCCCACCTCTTCTCCCTTACTCTTCCCTTTGTCATTTCTTTTTTTTTTTTTTTTTAGGGGGAGTGGGGTTCGAGACAGGGTTTCCCTGTGTAGCCCTGGCTGTCCTGGAACTCACTCTGTAGACCAGGCTGGCCTCGAACTCAGAAATCCGCCTGCCTCTGCCTCCCAAGTGCTGGGATGCGTCACCACTGCCCGGCTCCTTTTTTTTTTTTAATAGTTCATATAAACACTAAAATAAAATCTTTCTGAAATTCTCTTCAGGATAAAGAAGAGTATTTCTAACCTGGACTACTTAATACCACATCTCAAAAACAAAAACACCAGTGGCTCCCTTAGAGCCATCCTCCCTCCAACTGCAACAAGTAACACTTTTTCTCTTGTCCTGAATAGTCCACAAACAGAATTTAGAAGTACAGCAACGCCAGGAGTGCAGAACCTGAAGGTGGCCTGGCTCACCTCTGAGCAGTGGATTGCTTTTCTTCACAGTATCCTGTGTGCCTCTTCTGACCCCCGCCCCCATGGTTTGCCTCTCCCCAGCCCAAGCAGCTCTTCTCCTAACACCGCTGGGAAAGGCTGCTGAGGAATGGAAACTCTTCCCTGCCCAGAAGCTCCTCTTCTTCTCACCTTCCTGGAGAGCTGAGAAACCCACCCTGTACTCCTTTCATCTGTGTCTCCATCACTCCATCCTCTCTTGGACCACAGAATTCTACCTTAGAATTCAAGCTTCCTCTGCTGTCTCCTATTTAAAACAGAGAAACAAAATACTCATTGATAGATACCCACTGACTACCTTACAAAAGCTCACTGCAGTGAACATGGACAGGATCCCAGTGCACAGCAACTGTACTTGGCTGGAGATGGGGGTGGGGTGGGGCTTATGTCTTGAATCTTAGTTCCCATTTCAGATCTGTATTTTGGAAATAAATGTCTCGGAGACAGAGGAAGTTGCACTCTGACTCTGGGCCTATGCTGTCCTGTCCCGTCTTCCTCCCTCCAGTCACTGTCTAGGAGAGGGTCTGGGCTATCTGCTAGCACACCTCAGGAAGTCTATGTTGTTCCTTTCCCAGCTGCTTCCGACTCTGGCAAGGATCCAAGCAAGGGACAGGGGCTACTCTGTGTGCTGACAAGTACATTTGCCAGCACAAGAGCCCCAGGCAGCAGTGACACTTCCTGTCTGGTGGGCAGCTGGTGAGGGGTCCAGCTTGGTTGGAGGTGAACCCTTGGCCAGCATAGACTGAATAAACAAGGAATCTAGTGATTGGGGGTGGGGGTGTGGCAGCAGTTAACATCCTCCATCTTTCTTCTTGGTGGGAGCAGTTGGATGGGGACTCATTTTGTCCATACCTGACTCTCAGCAGACATTTTAAATCATTTGAGGAGGGGGATCCTAGCAAACCAGCAGGCCAAGCACCCAGAGAGGTAGGACCTGGTCCCTGTGAAGGCTGTGCTTCTTTCAAGCCTTCCAGGCTAAGACTGGTTCTGTTCCTGGGTTAGGATCTCCACTGGATCTTTCCAACCTTCCTAAGTCTGGGTGTGCTAGTCACTTCCCGCCAGCTCAAAGCATCCTCTTAGGTCAAGCCCCAAGTCGAAACTGTATCAATTCCTCACAGGAGCTAACATCTCTGAGATTTACATTTGAAAGTGGTGTTGCACAATATGAGCGGTAAAATGTGTGCTA